AGCAGCGGGGGGGGGATCGCTGCAGTACCCTCACCTCCCCCCCCCCCCCTTCTTTGGGCAATGGTATTGCGACCAAGCACCTCTGCATGCATTCGGATGCCCCCCAACAGTGCGCGGTACACAAAAGGGGGGGGGGCTTGCTGCATAGGGACCAGACAGACCAACGTTAGCTAAACCAAGAAACCAGCAAGAACAAGTCCGGAGTACCCACAGAGGGCATCCCCCCATCCCCGAGGCTCAAACTCCAGGGCAGCCCAATACTGTTGAGAGCGTGTATAACCAGAGCACGCAGGTGCTGCCCAACCCGCACATCACGAAACTTGCGGGCCACAACGTACCTCTTTATATGACGAGTCCGAAGTGCCAATTAGAAATTGGGACCCGATTAAACCTCGCATAAGTAAACACGTGTCTTGATCCGGGCCGCCGCCGGGTGTTCCAGAGGTACTGGGGCCGCCAGCATCTCTGTCATCACCACACAAGGTTAGCTCAGCCTGCATGCGGGGGGGGGTCACGGGACCCAGAGAGTGTTTGCGTCGGCCCAAGGACCAATCCTAAAGGAAGTTGTTCGCCAAGGTGGGTTCCCTAGCTGAAAGGCATCGGTTCACAAGCCCCCCTTCGATCACACAGCAGGCCTCCAGCACGGAGGTTCCTGGCCCAACACAAGGGGGAAGGGGAACGGGCCAACTGATCTATTCAGCTCAATCTCACACGACACAGGGAGTCGACGCAATGAGGGGAATGGACACTTAGCTGGCTCAGTCTTAGGCTGACCGCTCAAGCTCTCCGTCCTCCACTGGCGCACGGGAGGCTTGTTGCATTGGATTCAAGACGGAACCCTTGAGGGAGACCGACATGACCGTCACAGGCGGTGGAAAGCAGCAATCTCTGGGCCAGAGTACGACCCAAACAAACTCACGCCGGAAATTAGCAACCCTGACACAAAGCACTAATTAAGACTCAGTTGCCACGTATCGTGCACGAGCACAACCCACGCATATCACTCCTGGCAACTGCACACCAAGGCTTATGGCACAGTGCACTTAGCCCCAATGTGCCGCATAGCGGCACAGCGCACATCACGCTTTCAGGGTTGCGCTCTCGGCCCCAATTCTCCAAGCACCGATAGGACAGGAGCGCTCGAGGGGCGAGGGACGTTCAAGCTAAATTAATTCAGGCGTTTGGTCTGGCAGCCTTGGCAGCGCCCAACACAAATAAATCAGCTCCAATCGCATGTTAAAGGGTCAGGGAGAGCATGTCAAGCGTCAGACCCACTAGACCCTGCGGGCCAACCTGCGACGTGCTCGGGACGAGCCTGCCGTGTGACAGTCAGTGGATCCGGCCGATATTGCCCAGGCACCACCGGTTCAAAGGTCGGGCGCCCATAACAACAAGTAGAACCGTCTAACAACAAGACAATACTCCCGACGCGCAAGCCGCGCGTCAGGTCCGGAGGACCGGGGAGCCCTATCCAGGCACAACAGGCTTAGTATTCGGGCACCCAAAAGGCAAGGGAACCAAAAGGCAAGGGAACCCTGCGTGCACAAACCAGACGAATACCGGCTAACCCCTCAGGCATCCCAAACATGCACACTGAAGCATCCTGAAACAGGCACACTGAAGCATCCTGAAACCACCCAAAACCAGACATCATCCCCAAACATCACCCCACATAACCGAACTAGAGTACAGGCCGGCGGCGGCGCACGGCCAGCTGGTTACGGTGGCCAGCGTTGGACCGCTGGGAACATGGGTCAGGAGGGCGGGAGGCCGACAATGCACTGGAAGTGAGCGGGCGCAGGGTCCCCTGTATAACGGACTCCTGCGCTCCGAACAAGGCCCTGGCAGGAGGCAGATGCTGACCGAGCCCGGTGTCGGCGGAGGACACGTCGACGTCGACCCGGCCCTAGAGTCATGGCGGGGCGAAGGGCCACGCATGACTCAATTGTAAACGTAGCATCGTGTAGACGTGAAGCATACCACAATGTCAGCTCGATCCACGGCGCACGCGCGGCACCCAAGCGCACCTGTAGCAGGCCGGGCCTGACCAACATCTAGACCAGGAAGAGGAGACATGACAGAGCTGGTCCATGAAGCCCAGCGTTGGGCCGTGCACCGGATCATGTGAGCATCAAACACCCAATGAACCGAGCCACTGGCGAGGCCTTGAGGCCACACACCCTCTGCACAGGAGGAACCTTGACTTGCAATGTTGTATTACCAAGCATCAGCATGGCCACTCAGGGCAGACACACTTGGCGGCACAGCCCACGAGGGGCCCTCCTGGCAAGACTGTACCGGACAGTGGAACAGGCCCGTAGCAGTCAACACAAATAGCGCGACACGCAAACACGTGCAACCTGACCACGCGCAGCTCCCACCCAGAAGCCAAGGTCGGTGGGTAACGAGATTGGAGAACTTAGGGAAAATCCAACATACCCCGACAGGGTTCGCTTGGACCACAGCAGGTCTTAGGCTGGAAGACCCTCGCAGCTGACAATGAGGAGCTGGGCAAGCGCAAACGATATGCCACGTCGAATGGCTCACCTTGAGGGAGAGGCCGCAGCCAAACCTTCCACAGTGCAAGGTTTGCGACCGGCAGGACAGCCGAGTGAAGGTCAAAGGAAACGTCGTAAGCGACCCCAGAAATTATTGGTATGCCCATTGGCACGGAGGTGCACACCTGTCCAGGGATGCCCTGGGAGACTGAACGAGGATGGTCACGTGTGAAAATGTGGGCAAGTTGCATAGATGCCACGGAAGCAACGCCCAGGCACGACCACCTCGTTGATTTGGCCTGCATACAGGCAGAGGGCCCTGCGTCTCGGTTGTGGTGCGCCAAGCGGACCACCGGCAGAGCAGCGCAAGGCGTGAGTGGTTTCGGTGGAAAACAGCCTGGAGACTCGCCTGGGCTCCAAGGGCGCACGTCACTTGCATTGCATGAATAACAGGTAATTTGGAATGCTTGGCCGACGTCCCAAGATAGTGCCCTCACAAGCGGGGCGTCGGGGGGGAAATCGAAGACGTCGTACAGGAGGCCACATGTCACCTCAGGTGCGTCAGACATGGCATGCACTGCTACTTCAGTCTTTTCAAGCATTGTCTGCAGACCACATGGCACTAGACAACACGAACTCACATGGCGGGAAAAGCCAAAAAGCGACGTAAAGCAAGGTCCTAACATGATACATGAATCCATGAACATGGCTTTGAGCCTTCATCCTTGCACGAGCACCCATGGTGCAACGGACATATGGCACCATGGCCATGTTGTATGACAGCCCCTTGGCTCATACAAAGGCACCATGTGCCGCTTCATGAGACCCACATAGCCCCTTGGCTGAGCAACATTTGCTCGTCTCATGACATCACATCATAAACATGCGCAAACACATGCGTGAGCGCCCACTCATTTCCCTTTTTCGACATCACGAACTGCATCCTCATCGCAAGGCATTCTTTGCACCGCTTCCAGACGAGTGCCTCGGTGCCAAGTGAATCCAGGGGCGCAGAAAGCGCAAAACACATTTGCCCCTAAGCCGGCTCAAGAACAAAGCCCCGTAACGTGATCACGCGTCAAAGCGGAAAGACAACTGCGGGCATTGAAATTATGAGCGCGGACAAACGCTTGGAGCCGCTCGCTAGCGGGTGCGCCCACCAACCTTGTTTGAAGGGCCCAAAATGAGGTCATTTTGCGTGGCCCCAAGAGGCTCGCCTGGGGCACTGGAAGGCAACAATTGGCGTCAAGGATGACGAGGTGAAACGCTTCACCTGTTAAGCCTTCGCGCACTTGTTGCAGGGAGATCTCGTCCTGGAATTTGAAGTTTGGCGGGACCTTGAGGCCCCACTGCTTCTGTCCAAGGTCCCTACACTTGATACCTGCAAGAGTTGCCCGGAACACAACCCGGCAACATTGAAGAGCCAAAGAGGTGCACGCCGTGGGGGGCAGAGTTGGGCCATCCAACAAAGCAGTTAACGGAACCACGCGTTCCGTAATGACATAATGAGCCCGGCACAAACCGTCTGCTCCAAGGGACACCCAAATGGAGCCACTGCCGAAGATGCAGGTAAAGGCTGCCGGACACGCAGCAGCACTCTTAACCTCATTCACATTGTCAGCATCGTTTTCAGCGAGCTTCACAACAAGGCTTGCAGCTGGCCCTTCACCCCGAAGGTGATACACTTTCCGGAAACCCCCTTTGAGCCCTGGCGCCCTGCTCGACCCCAAGACTGACAGGCTTCCACCATTCACTTCCAGGGTCAGGTGAAGGTCATCCGGGAACATGTCGCTGCCTGTTAAAACCCCTGAGGCACGCAAAAGCTTCATTGAGGGCATTGCTTGTGCACTGCTGGGGATTGCCTCTTGAGTGGTATCCTGAACCGGCACAGCAGGGAGCGCATCATGGACAACATTCTGAGCCGGAGCCGGAGTGGGGAAAGAGCCACCTTGACTGACGACCAAGCAATTTCCGCAAATGTCGAAGTCGCAGACCCTACAACCCCAAAGCAAGCGCCGCGTGGTGAACACGCGTTTGCATGCACTGCACCACCATCCAGGCTCAGGAGACCCAAAGGAGAACAAAGGATGACCTGCAGAACACGTGGGACGAGCATCAAGCCTGGCCAGAAAGGCTTCTGCACAATCCTGCGTGATGCCCTCGTCAGACGAAGCAGAGCCACTGGATCGGCTGGTACTTTCGGGCTCCCTCTTTTTGCGCTTAGGGCTAGGAGGTCGTGGAGGCATTGGCCGATCACCAGAAGGCAAGGACGTTGACGCTTCAGGCACACGTCATCTGACTTGTTGCTCGAAGGGGAGGCCGCGGCACGCTTAGGGAGACATGCCGTCCTGCGGGGAATGGATCCAGGACCAGTAAATACAGGTCGCGAACTCAACGGGGCAACCACCCTTGGTTTCTCAGGCAAAGACACCTTTCCAGGAACATCACGGACATTTGCGGGCCCCATGAATATTCGCCTTTGGAACGGCCTGACCTCATCCATCACCGCACCGGCGGACGCACATTGCCCCGAACTTTCTGACGCAGCAGGAGCCTTGGCTGATGGACTTGACTCATCGAGCTTAAGAGATCCGGACACCCCTGGGGGGAACGCGCTGAGTGCACCTGAGGGGGCCTCGAGCTGAGGGCCCATAACCCGCTGCGCGTACTTGGCAGAGCTGCCAAGGGGATTGCCAGTGGGCTCTGTGGTGGCCTCACTAGCGCTTGAGGCCTTGTTGTAGGTTCCGGCCTCCCTCCCCGTGGCACAAGGTCCGCTTGGACCGTGGCCTGGTCCACCACTGGCAACCTGGTTCACATTGAAACCCAACTGCACCTCGGGATATTGCGCACCCACAGTTTCTGCATCCGAAACACTTGACGCAGGGCTCACATCACTCTGCGGGTGGACTCCGGGCCTGGAGACGCGTTCAGGTGGCGCAAGTCTGACAGCTTGCTCGGACTCAATCCTATGAGAGGACTTGGTCCTAGCCGTCGTTGTCACCTCCCTCGACGAAGTCTTGAAGGCACCCTCACGATCGGGCGCCGCATCTCCCACACCTTGAAGGGGCGAGCTGGGTAGGGTGCGTTGAGGTGCGCTCGACACATCATACCTGACTGGCAGTCCAAGAGGTCTGTCTGGGGGATCAAAGGCATCACCCTTACCCACGTGAACCCCGACTTGCCCAGGCGCACGACGCTCTGTCTCGTGAAGGATTCCGGAAGCCTCAGAAGACCAAGCCCTAACAGCACGGGTTGCAAGCAATGCATCACTATGCTGGCCAGAAGGAAAGGACCCCACGCGCGCGCCATCACCTAAAATTTCGCCATCAGGTTTCACGGGCACCAAATCTTCGGCTTCACTCCCACGTAGCGTTGCACGAGCCTGCGATATACAGGCGGGGCCTGCTTGGACATGGGATCCGATCGCCTTGCCAACCGGCGCACTGACTTTAGGCTCTGGGACCACGGGTTGGCCATCAGGTTTCTTAGGCACCAAATCAACGGGATCACTCCCACGTAGCGAATCACGAGACTGTGATGACTGAGCATTGCCCATCTCCTTCGGAACACCATCAGCCTGGTAGCTAGGCTCACCAGGCTCAGAGCCCACAGCTTTTGGAGCTTGGATGGTGGATTCACCCTTAACCAGAGCATCTCCCTGGGCGCTGGCACGCCCTGTCGGGAAACCGTCAGCTTGGTAGCTAGGCTCACCAGGCTCAAAGCCCACAGCTTCTGAAGCCTCACCCTCAACCGGCGCATCTCCCTGGGCGTTGGCACAACCTCCCCCCTTAACCGAAGCAGACTGCCCAGAGGGATTCTTCCTGAAGCGCTTAACAACGCACACAGGGGCCACAGCAGGGGGCGCGGAACCCGCAGGGACGGGCAAGTCCGGAGACGCAGCTGAGCCCGGCAACACCATCTATCGGTCGTAGACGGCCAAGTACCAGGCAATCACGCAGTGAGCGCACCAATGGTGGTTGTGGTTGATACGGTAACGGATGCACCCGTTACGACCACACTGCTGACAAAGCTGCTGACAGGCCGGTATAGGGGGATCCTGCTCAACGAGCGGCTGTTCCGGAGCACGACGACCACAGGTGGACCCCATGGGAGGCTAACAAAGGCTGATGATAAGCAACAGGCAAGCCACGCCCAAGCAGAAGCCGGAACAGAAAGAGGAGGGGCCACTCCTGGCAGGACTCACGGATTTGCAGGCCCCCAAGTGCACAGGGGAACTCAGCGCGGCTTGCCCACGAAGGCGAGCTCCCATCCGCTGCCTGCTTCACGCAGGCAACTTGCACGGGGCCTAAGGCCAAGGTTAGAGGATGGGGCCTGTTGAAGAAAGACCTGTTTGGAGCCCCAACCTCGTTTACACGACAAATTTTCACGGCCCGATGGAGCCCGTGCTGCACAACAAGGAACACGCATCAAGTTGCAAATATCAGCCGTCCTTTAGCTTCACAAAGCATGGCATGTTGGACATCCAGGCGCAGTGCACAAGCTGCATACAGCCACTGCAACCCTGTAAACTGCTGATCAAGGAATTTGCAAAACATGCAACAGGCAAATGTGGAGCGTGGGGAACATGCGCATCACGAAACTTTTGGCTTCAAACAGTGACAAAACGGCAAACCGTTTTTCACAGGGCAATTTTGGAAGCAAGCGATAAAACACAATTCGCTCGCGAACAGTAAGCTTTTGGGTTTAGCGCTTAGGGTTTTGGGGTTTTGGGCTTAGGTTTTTTGGTGTTTGGGCTTGGGGTTTGGGTTTCGGGTAGAAACTTTTCTTTTTGTTTGGGGGCCTTAGGGCTTGGGGTTTGGGGCTTAGCGTTTTGGTTTCGGGCTTAGGGTTTTTGGGTTTGGGGCTTACGGCTTTGGGATTGGGGCTTAGAGCTTTCGGGCTTTAGGGCTCAGAGTTTTGGTGTTTAGGGCTTAGGGTTCTGTGTTTGGGCTTAGGGTTTTGGGGTTTGGGTCTAGTGTTTTGGGTTTGGGGCTTTTTGGGTTTGGGGCTTAAGTTTTTGAGATTGGGGCAGGGTTTTGGGTTTGGGGCTTAAGGTTTTGGTTTCGGGCTTAGGGTTTTTTGGGTTTAGGGCTTTGGGTTTTTGGGCTTGAGGTCTCAGGGTTTTGGTGTTTCGGGCTTAGGGCTTTGTGTTTGGGCTTAGGGTTTTGGGGTTTGGGTCTAGTGTTTTGGGTTTGGGGCTTAGGGCTTTTGGGTTTGGGGCTTAGTGTCTTGGGTTGGGGCTTAGGGTTTTTGGGCTTGGGGGCTAGGGTTTTGGGTTTGGGGCTCAGGGTTTTGGGTTTCAGGCTTGGGATTTGGGTTTTGGGGCAGGGTTTTGGGTTCTGGGCTTTGGGTTTTTGGGTTTAGCGCTTAGGGTTTTGGGTTGTGGGCTTAGGTTTTTTGGCGTTTGGGCTTGGGGTTTGGGTTTCGGGTAGAAACTTTTTTTGGTTTGCGGACTTAGGGCTTGGGGCTTGGGGCTTAGCGTTTTGGTTTCGGGCTTAGGGTTTTTGGGTTTGGGGCTTACGGCTTTGGGATTGGGGCTTAGAGCTTTCGGGCTTTAGGGCTCAGGGTTTTGGTGTTTAGGGCTTAGGGTTCTGTGTTTGGGGGTTTGGGTCTAGTGTTTTGGGTTTGGGGCTTAGGGTTTTTGGGTTTGGGGCTTAGTGTTTTGGGTTTGGGGCTTACGGTTTTGAGTTTAGGGCTAAGGGTTTTGGGCGTAAGGTTTTTTTGGGTTTCGGGCTTAGGGTTTGGGTTTTGGGGCTGGGTTTTGGATGGTTTTGGGTTCAGGACGTTGGGGTTTTGGGTTTGGTGCTGAAGGTTTTGTGTCTTGGGCTTAGGTTTTTGGTGTTTGGGCTTGGGGTTTGGGTTTCGGGTATAGAAAAAAGGTTTTTGTTGCTTGGGGACTGGGTTTGGGATTATGGTTTTTTGCAAAAAACAAACAATTTTATGAAAAATCTTCAAAAACCTGCGAAAAGTGTATACAAAGTTGGTTGCAAGTGATGGGTCTTTATCTCAAAAAATTGAGGTTTAGCTGAAAAACGGTGGATTTTTGTGTAAATTGTTAGGTGTTTTGTCCCAAAAACCTGTTATTTTCTGAGAATCTGTGAGTTTTTTTTGCAAAAACTATACACAAATCAATCGAAAATATAATTTTTTCTGTAAATTCTTGTATTTCAAGCAAAAATTTTAAAAAACAATACAAAAATCAACGAAAAATATACAATTTTACGCAATTTTGATTGAATTTTGCTTACACTTTTGCCAAAAGCGCATACACTTTTGCCAAAAGTGCATACACTTTTGCCAAAAGTGCATACACTTTTGCCAAAAGTGCATACACTTTTGCCAAAAGTGCATACACTTTTGCCAAAAGTGCATACACTTTTGCCAAAAGTGCATACACTTTTGCCAAAAGTGCATACACTTTTGAAAGTGTATACACTTTTGGCAAAAGTGTATGCACTTTTGGCAAAAGTGTATGCACTTTTGGCAAAAGTGTATGCACTTTTGGCAAAAGTGTATGCACTTTTGGCAAAAGTGTATGCGCTTTTGGCAAAAGTGTATGCACTTTTGGCAAAAGTGTATGCACTTTTGGCAAAAGTGTATGCACTTTTGGCAAAAGTGTATGCACTTTTGGCAAAAGTGTATGCACTTTTGGCAAAAGTGTATGCACTTTTGGCAAAAGTGTAAGCAAAATTCAATCAAAATTGCGTAAAATTGTATATTTTTCGTTGATTTTTGTGTCGTTTTTAATATTTTTTGCTTGAAATACAATGGAATTTACAGAAAAATATATTTTCGGTTGATTTGTGTATAGTTTTCGCAAAAAAAAAAAACTCACAGATTTTCAGAAAATAACAGGTTTTTGGGACAAAACACCTAACAGTTTACACCAAAACCCATCGTTTTTCAGCTAAACCTCATTTTTTTTGATAAAACCCATCACTTGCAACCAACTTTGTATACACTTTTCGCAGATTTTTGAAGATTTTTCATAAAATTGTTTGTTTTTTGCAAAAAACCATAATCCCAAACCCAGTCCCCAAGCAACAAAAACCTTTTTTCTATACCCGAAACCCAAACCCCAAGCCCAAACACCAAAAAACCTAAGCCCACGACACAAAACCTTCAGCACCAAACCCAAAACCCCAACGTCCTGAACCCAAAACCATCCAAAACCCAGCCCCAAAATCCAAATCCTAAGCCCGAAACCCAAAAAAACCTTACGCCCTAAGGCCCAAAACCCTTAGCCCTAAACTCAAAACCCTAAGCCCCAAACCCAAAACACTAAGCCCCAAACCCAAAAACCCTAAGCCCCAAACCCAAAACACTAGACCCAAACCCCAAAACCCTAAGCCCAAACACAGAACCCTAAGCCCTAAACACAAAAACCCTGAGCCCTAAAGCCCGAAAGCTCTAAGCCCCAATCCCAAAGCCGTAAGCCCCAAACCCAAAAACCCTAAGCCCGAAACCAAAACGCTAAGCCCCAAACCCCAAGCCCTAAGGCCCTAAGCCCCCAAACAAAAAGAAAAGTTTCTACCCGAAACCCAAACCCCAAGCCCAAACACCAAAAAGCCTAAGCCCAAAACCCCAAAACCCTAAGCGCTAAACCCAAAAAACCAAAGCCCAGAACCCAAAACCCTGCCCCAAAACCCAAATCCCAAGCCTGAAACCCAAAACCCGAGCCCCAAACCCAAAACCTTAACCCCCAAGCCCAAAAACCCTAAGCCCCAACCCGAAACACTAAGCCCCAAACCCAAAAACCCTAAGCCCCAAACCCAAAGCCCTAAGCCCCAAACCCAAAAGCCCTAAGCCCAAAACCCAAAACACTAGACCCAAACCCAAAACCCTAAGCCCAAACACAAAGGCCTAAGCCCGAAACACCAAAACCCTGAGACCTCAAGCCCAAAAACCCAAAGCCCTAAACCCAAAAAACCCTAAGCCCGAAACCAAAACCCTAAGCCCCAAACCCAAAACCCTGCCCCAATCCCAAAAACTTAAGCCCCAAACCCAAAAACACTAAACCCCAAACCCAAAAACACTAGACCCAAACCCCAAAAGCCTAAGCCCAAACACAAAACCCTAAGCCCTAAACACCAAAACCCTAAGCCCTAAACACCAAAACCCTGAACCCTAAAGCCCGAAAGCTCTAAGCCCCAACAAGCCCTAAGTCCGCAAACCGAAAAAATTTCTACCCGAAACCCAAACCCCAAGCCCAAACACCAAAAACCTAAGCCCAAAACCCAAAACCCTAAGAGCTAAACCCAAAAACCCAAAGCCCAGAACCCAAAACCCTGCCCCAAAACCCAAATCCCAAGCCTGAAACCCAAAACCCGAGCCCCAAACCCAAAACCTTAACCCCCAAGCCCAAAAACCCTAAGCCCCAACCCGAAACACTAAGCCCCAAACCCAAAAACCCTAAGCCCCAAACCCAAAGCCCTAAGCCCCAAACCCAAAAGCCCTAAGCCCCAAACCCAAAACACTAGACCCAAACCCCAAAACCCTAAGCCCAAACACAAAGCCCTAAGCCTGAAACACCAAAACCCTGAGACCTCAAGCCCAAAACCCCAAAACCCTAAACCCAAAAAACCCTAAGCCCGAACCAAAACCCGAAGCCCCAAACCCAAAACCCTGCCCCAATCCCAAAAACTTAAGCCCCAAACCCAAAAACACTAAACCCCAAACCCAAAAACACTAGACCCAAACCCCAAAAGCCTAAGCCCAAACACAAAACCCTAAGCCCTAAACACCAAAACCCTAAGCCCTAAACACCAAAACCCTAAGCCCGAAACCCAAAACCCTAAGCCATAAATCCCAAAACCTTTAGCCCTAAACCCAACACCCTAAGCCCTAAACCCCAAAACCCTAAGCTCAAAACCAGGGTTTCGGGCGCATGGTTTAGGATTGGGGCTTTGGGCTTGGGGTTTTGAGGCTTGGGCTGATAGGTTTTTGGGGCTTCGGGCTTAGGGTTATGGGTTGGGGGCTCAGGGTTTGTGGTTTGGGGCTTATGGTGTTTTGGGTTTCGGGCTTAGGGCTTGGGGCTGGGGCTTAGGGTGTTTGATTTGGGGCTTAGGTTTGCGGGTTGGGAGTTTAGATTCTTTACAAAACATTAAGAGCTTTGGAAGCAATCAAGACTTTTTTCAAAAAAGCTAGAGATTTTTTGGTTACGATTTTTTCGGAAAAACTTAGATATTTCTAGCAAAAAATATTTGTCAACAAATCGCACACCTTTACCAAACCAAATCGAAAGTTTTTTTGTAAAACATCAAAACGTTTTGCTGAAAAGCACATTTTTTTACACAAGATTCTAGAGTTGTTGCAAAAGTCAATGGCTCCTGTGGAAAAACAGAACAATTTACCACAAATTCAACGTTTCGGGCTCAGGATTTGGGTTTTGGGGCTGGGTTTTGGATTCAGGGCTTTGTTCTTTTTGGTTTTGTGCTTAGGGTTTTGGGTTTTGGGCTTGGGTTTTTGGGTGTTTTCGTTATGGCTGTTATCTGTGACTGTTGTTGTTTCGGTCGAAACAACATTGAAATTTGGGAAATCTGTGCCCACAGTCACATCTGTAACTCGGAAAATCATGTTTTTTTTTAAATATATAAACATGTAACTCTACAAAACACCCGCATTTTGAAGTGTAAAAGTGTAATTTACACTACGAAAAAGTGTAATTTACACTCCAAAATTTACACGAAAACGTGTAATTTTTTTACACGTTTTTTTGGAGTGTAAATTAATTACACTGTTTTTTCGTGTAAATTTCGCGAACGTGTAAAATTACACGAAAAGGATCTTACAGGTACATCTGGCCATCATCCTGAAAAGACTTTCCACGTGCTGGGTCACCACAATAAGGTAAGGATCCTGAACCTCGTGGGCTGTCATATCTAGGATGGTATCCGTTGAACCGTATCGGCTCCTGCCTGCGTGCCGGGCCACCGCCGCGCGCATAGTTTTCATATGTTTAGGGGCGACCCCCTGTGCTTCATGGCCATAAAGACCCGAGGTGACCACACTAGAACGATGCAACCGCAGCCGGACACGGCGTGACGGAATGCGAAGCTTACCCAACTTCAGGTTACGGAGGCCACCTACCCGGAAGCGTTTCTGGGCAGTAGTTGTCCTGCGCCGGCGTCCACTGCCACTGTCAAGGCCTAAATCCTTGACCACGTCGACTATGTCAGGGTCCCCTGGCCGCAACAGCTTTCGCAGCGCCGCAGCTGAGCGGGGTGTTCCGGCCACAAATTTCGTTTTCTCTTGGCTGAGGACAAGACCTTCAGCCTGAAGACTGGACTTGAGCACTCGAAAGGCTTCATAAGCCGCTCCCGCGGCTATATCCGGCGAGGCATGGAGTGAATCTGCAGAGACATCGTCCAACCATACGTCGCAATGATCCAAGCCTGTGACTCGTTTTAGTCTATGTAAGGGTTCAGACATGGTAAGCTTGGCCAAGGTGGGAGCGTAGGGGCATCCCTGGATCATGCCCCGGCCTGGGAAGATGGTTGGACTAGGCTGGGATTCACCCACCACCGTGCGACCACCTTGGTAGAGGCGGAGGGAGAGGCACAGGGCCAAGGCTGGGAAAGACAACCGCAAGCCTTGTTCACAAAGCCGCTGCCAAGAAACGCTGTCGTAAAACCCATTCATGTCTACGAACAACGAGACAGTGTGCAAGCCCTTGACTCTGGCGCGACTCTTTGGAGCACTTCCTGGCCAGGGCAACGTCTAACGAGGTACGGCCTGGGATCGCCGAGTCAAAAGGGTGATCAGGAATATAAGAGTCCAGCCACTGGCCGACCAAGATCCGCCGAGTCTTACACCAAAGCCGCCATAGGACTGAGGTAAGACCGATAGGTCTTTCCTTCAAGGCACTCTTGGCCAGAAGAACAATCTGGACCTGGGAAACTTGGAGGGGAATGACAAGGTCCTCCTCCATTTTGTTGAAGACGTCGGCGAGGACTGCATAGGCGTCCCGAGGCAAGTCCCGAAGATCGTTGAAATCCCAGCCGTCCGGGCCTCCTTTTTTGGGATTTTTTGCGGCGCATATCTTGGCGACAGAGCTAGCAGAATGCTTGGGCAGGGAACGGACCTGCTCCCGGGCTAAGTCGCACAAGGCATCCCATACTTCCCCTGGAGCGGGGCTGGCGACACCAGGTTACCCTGCCAGACTTCACACCAAAATTCTAGCCGTTTATAGGGCCGCGCCAGGGGAGTGAACTCCCGATACGGCCGTTCCAAGGTTTGCTCGTCAGCTCGAAGGGAGCGGTAAAGGGGGCGGAGGTGATCATTTTGCGCCTCTTCCAGCCACTTGGAGTAAGACTCGGAGTTCTGGGAGGTCTGGGAGGCCAAAGCTTCCTTATATTTTGTCTCGACCTGGGGCACCAACTCCCGAGTGAGACTGCGACGGTCATCAGCATGAACCCAGTCCTTTAGGACGGGAAGAAGGGGGTCGTCCGGAGGGATGGAGGCGAAGGCCTCTGAGGATTTAGGGCACCGACCTGATGGTGGGGACTCTCAACTGAAGGGAGTGCACTGGCACGTCCAAGGTTAGAAGTCCGTGAGGCTTGAAAGGAGTGTCAAAAGACAGCCGGACCGTCGACAGGGATTGAAGACTGGGATGGACGACAAAGAAGTCAATCTCAGAGTCCCCTCCCGCCGTAGGGGACCCACTGCCCACCACTCGGCCCTGCCACCTTTCTTCATACCTGGAGTTAAGGAAGTCCTGGATCAGAACGTTAGAGTCCCCACCAACCACCCACATGCCTTGAAGGAGGGACAAATGTTGGGTAAGGCTGGACAGGATAAGATCATTGACTGGGCTATCCAAGCCAGTCCCACTTTCCAGGTACAAGGAGATCCAATTGAAATCTACCCCTTTGGAACGCAACGCCACAATAACATAGCCACAGCCTTGCGAGGCGTGGAAGGTCACTAGGATCCTGGGCCCCAAGTGATTTTTGACTGCAATCCCTACACCTGCTAGGGGGTTGCCCTTGGCACTTTTCGGGCTAGCAACACCAAAGAGCACAAACCCTAGATTCATCAAATGACGAGTCTCACTCTTAAGGTCCTCTTTGGTGAGGTGAAGTTCTTGTAGCATAAGAATGTCCGGGGACAAGGTGTGGGCCCATTTCCGGTGACTCGACCGCCATCGGGTGACATTGGCCGAACAGACCTTGAGATTCCTAGGTTTAGCTTCGCAAGAGTTTGCAGAAAGATCCTCTGAACCTCGAAGGACAAAAACCCAGTCACTGGGGTTTGGGCTGGGGGAAGCAAGGGCCTGAAACATTTTGTGGACCACCAGATACTCCAAAGTCAAGGGGTCGGTGGGTTCGTCATCTTCGAAAAGGCCTACCATGCTAGACTCCACAGACAGAAAGCCCTGCTGAAAACCCCTGGACACCAAACCCGCTAACTGGCCCCACTTGTCCGTCTTTTCGTGCGGGGTCGTAGTGTTCCAGGCTACGATAGCTGAATCCAAAGGCTCCCTAGCCTTGAGAGGCCGGGCCGTCCTGTTGCGACGTCGTCGGGTTCGTCTGCTGCGACAAGACGACTGGGTACCTGTGGGTCGAGGTCCACCTCCTAAGACGAGGGGAGTAGAAGTACTGGGGGATTCATACAACTGCATGTCGCACAAAGCCTCCAGGGGAAAATACCTCGGCCCCGTCACCAAAGGATGGTGGACCACCTCGTATTGGCATAGCGCTGCTAAAGAAATTGGAACTGGTGAGGGATCTTTTGCTGGTACACATTCCGCTCCAAGCGAAACCTGCCCCAACCCTGAATCCCACTCCTTCTGGAGGGGCTGACCCTGACACGTGCCACACAGAACCGCATGTCTAGATGACCGGGTGTATCTTGGAAGCTCCACCAGGCAACTCTGGAGGCCCATCCTCGGCACAGCCGACACAAAACTGCAAGCGCGAGACCATCCCCAACCTGGAAAAGGGTGTGGCACGGGTCCTCCCCGGCCTGACACCTGCAGACCTCACAACAGCTGAGGCTGAAGACACCTGCTTGGGAAGGGGATTGGCAAAACGTCTCGGGCAAGGTGACAAAATTTTGACCAAGGGGGTAAACACGGGTTGTCGGGGAGAGGGACGACTCGGACAAGTGCGGGGAGAACAGGTTATCCCTGGAATCCAAAACCCCCAGCGCCCTACAAGCCCCGAACCCAGCTCCCTAACCCGTCTGCGATGCCTGAACCGGGGCCTGGCCCCCCACTGGTCCCCCTGGCAGGGTTCGGCTTCGGCCTCGTGCTGCGAGGTCAGGCATCACCGAGGCCTGCGAGGGTGGCAGACCCGGGGGAAGGCCTGGATCGACCTGCATGCGTCTACGCTTGGCTTCATCGGACTTCAGAGCTTCCAGCTTCCGCTTTTGCTCTTCGGTAAGGCTGGCCTCTTGCATGCCCAAAGCCTGCAGGACAGATTCCACTCCATTGTTTACCTCTTCCGCGCAATGCTTGACCACCTTGTCTTCATACTCCTTGGTGGTCTTCGCGACTTCCACCTTTGCCTCCTCGATGGCATTCTGGATGTCCTGCATCTTGTGAAGCATTGCTCGCAAGTTGTCCTTGGCTGTGTCGATCTCCTCCTGCAGTCTCAGTTTCCTCTGGCCCAGATCACGGAGCTTGCCAACCGAGCTGCGAAGAACATCCCCAGCCTCTTTCCCCTCCTGGCGCGGGTCCGGGGTTGGGGTAGCCGGCAGGGCGTCCACGATGACCTGGGGAAGGTCTCCGACATGCTGCTGCAGGAGAGCAACAAGATCCACATCCTCTGCGCGAGCCGGCTTGGCGAGTGTCCCACACCTTCCGCAAGCAGTCATGAACCTTGTTGGTCTTGGGCTTGCGAGGTCGGGGTTTCGGCTCCGGCTTGGACCAGGTCTTGGGGTTGGGCACATCCGTTGGCCACTTAGTTCCGCACCACTGACACTTGGGGAACTTGGGCACCTTTGCCGCGAAGATCCAGCTGGCCGGGCCACACTTCCTGCAAACGTGGTAACGTCCTCCAGCCATGGTGACTGTGAAGAGGCCCCGAGCCCTAAAGGCTGGGCTCAGATGTTGGACTTGTTGAGTTCGGCACACCACCTCTGCCGGCGAGCCTCCGACAAAAGTTTCCCGGCGTCGGCAATCCAATCGTTCCGGGTCTTGGACCAGCGAGCCAAAGCACGGAGTTGGTTTGTTACCCTCTGCCCCAGCACTGGGCTGTTCCTCAAACTCGGCTTGCAGATAGGACCTGATCGAGTCCTCCAAGGGCACCCTCTCGGCTACCCCAAAGCGCTGCACCTCGGGGGTGCGGGATCGCTCTCTTCCCGCCGTGGGTTTGGAGGACCACAGCCCTAAGGCCGGGAGAAAACAGGCCCGAGCCCTGAGGCTGGGTGAGTGCAATGCAGCCGCAGCCCTGAGGCTGGGTGAGTGATATGCAGCCACAGCCCAGAGGCCGGGTGGGTGCTCAGGCACAGTATGGCTCAAGCGAATAGGCCGAAAACAAAGAGGGCCTGGCACCTTAACCCAGTTGAGGCCCAGAACCCAGGTTCACAGCTACTCGCTCAGCTACTTCGCCTACCCCACCGGGGTTTGAGCAGAAACTTGAGCCAGGTGAATTTTTCTTCAGCAAGCGCGAAAGCGTTACCCAGTGGGCGTCCATCATGCAAATGAATTCACCCGGAGCCCCTAAGGGGCGAGACATAGTCTCTCGGGCTGGTCGGCCAACCTGCTACGGCAAACCACAGCTCAAGGCTGGGAGTGCGGTGCACCCACTACTACCTACAGGCGCCTATGACACAGTTAAGAGGCTCTGACCGCTAGTAGAACAGGTCAGATGGAGGACTGTGGCTTTCACTCGTCCGAGTCGCCAGCTGTACAAAGCACTTCGCTTTTCCTACTCCTCTCATCGTACTGACCATCGCCCAAGCAAAAGACCTGCTCCCAGCAGCTAGTCTGTGTCCATCTCATCAGGTGAATTTTTCTACACCACGCGCACGAGGCGGCCGTAGGCCTTTGGAGTCACTTTGGCTCAGGTGAAACAGTCGGGGGGACACCTACCCTGGTAACATTGGCTCAGGTGAAACAGTCGGGGGGACACCTACCCTATGGTACACAGAGCAAACTACTGCCGGCTCATCAGCAAGGCTGGCTCACCACGCCTTTAGGCCTGGTAACACCACTGGCCCTCACGACACCCCTGCCAGCCTGGTGCACCAAGCTTAGGCCGGGTTACACTTGCCAGTGGCTCAGCAGAAAGGCGAACATCCTGGAACACATAGGATTTCACACATTTGAATCGGTGTGACAGACGGGATCCACGACCCGAACACCTGCAATTCCCACACAGCAAACAAGGCTGGCCCCACACCTAGACATGGTCTGGAGACCCCAAGACCTGACTGACAACACCACAGGCTCGGGAGGCCCAAGCCTATTGGTTAGTCAATGCAGCAAGGTGAGTCCAATCAGAGATTCGGCCGTTCATGAGGACCAATTGGATCTCCAAGTTTGCCTTGAGCGCGGCGGGGAGAACCGCAATGATATCGTTGAGGCAAGGGACCACCGCCTGCCTGCGGAGATACGGCTCCAACGGCGTGACGTCACAGACACATCGAAGGGCCTCGATGAAGCTGCGCAAGCTATACTTGGGAAACCAACTTCCAGCATTGAGCCCTTCGAAGTGCCAATCCGCGAGATCGAAAAAACACAACATGGGTGTAGCGGCACTGAGTCCTGGTTTTATCCCCAGGTTGGATTTTGACACATCGCGAAGAGCAAAATGTCGGCTCAATTGCAGAAGTTATTGTTCAAAACCGTGCTTGTTATGAAATGTCATGTCGTGTTTGAACACTTCAAGCATGACACAATCTTCATCAAGCAACATGCATTCTGCTCACATCACTCGCTCTCGTTCGAATCTTTTCACGTTGTGGGGAAACAGTACCGAGCACGGCTGGTTGGATCTCGATCCCTCCTGTAAGACCCAAGACTGTTGTTGAGTCTCGAAATGTCCGGTGAGACACAGGGCTCCTTTCCCCTTCGAGAGGGAAATACAGCTAACTCACGGCCTCTCACAGGTTCGGCCTAAGTGTTACGGCCTGAACAGGATATCCACGTGGTTCAGAACGACAGTTCAAGAAGTTTCTGGCTGTCTCTGAGAGCTTGACGAGGCAGCTTCACTCGGTTGCTCCAAGTCAGGTGCAGGGTTCACAAACTGCCACTGAGACTGACGAGCTGCAACAGCCTCCTGTTGCCGCATCTCACGGTCTGCCATGAGGTCGTCCAATACCTCAGCCACCTTCATGAGGGAATCCATATTCAAAGTGTGAAGCCACACCCGAAAATCATTTAGCTGATCGCGCGTCAACGACCGCGCCATGAAGAGTGCTGAGAAAAGTACAGCGATGAAAAGAGCAAGACTCGAGCCTTTATGCGTCAAGCAAACAAGCGGAACTGTCACCACATGAAGTAAGGCCCGCACTAACACGGGTTCCTGATTGCACACGCTCATTGAGCTGCCTGGTCCCTTACCGGATACTTCGTATGCACACGAGTCCTCTCCTGACGTGGTTGCGAAAACGTTTACATTAGTTTACAAGGGCGGCGAGGGTGGGCTTTTCGAAAACAATCTATCAGCTTCTAAGAGCACTTTCCGGGCATCCTGCCCTCTGAGAGGTCCCGCTGCGACGGGTGTATAAGTAAATACAAATCCTGCATGAACAAGCATAAAACTGATCAAGCGTTGGAAATATGTTGTGCAAAAAGGCAAGCACTGAAACAACAAGCAAATGTTTTGTTCACCACAACATTTTGATGTTGTTTCCTTTGAACAATAAAGCTCTATCTTCTCCAGGCATTCGAAGAACGATACGAGGGCGAAGGCGTACAAGGACCACTGAGGGTGGATCTGGTTCCGAGAACCAAAATCCGTGAGGAGCTCGACTTTTTCCACAATCGACCAAGCCACCAAATGGGACCTGAACTCCCAGGGTCGCCCAGAGAGCAGCACCTGCAGTGTAGTGGAACCAGCCCCAATGATGGTGGCTGCAACCTTAGGAAGCAAAGCCGTAATCGCCACCTCATCCCCAAACGCCTGCTTTGTCCCAACCTTCAAGACATAGCCACCACCAACATCATATCCGTACCTGGTTCTTCCATTGTGGATATATGCCGCAGTGTTGTCCCCCGTGTCATTGAACCACACGTGGATCTGGTCCTTGGGGAGGGCCTGGAAAACACCAGCACAGCCCAGATCGGATTTGAAAGCCACCAACCCTGGCTTGGTATTGCGGGCCCTCTCAGCAATGGCAAAGGCTGCGCCCGCTTCCTGATCCATGTCATCAAAGTTCAACGGGGCGGGCAACATATGCACAGCTGGCGGTGCTGGGGGAGGCTCCGGATGCACAATGGGATCAGGCACCATTGGCTCCTCCTCACTTTCTTCAGAGCAGCTGTCCTGGTTTGGGTCACCCAAAACCGGACCAGCCTCAGGTGCATAGGGATTCTCCCGAAGGACAATTCCAGGAACTTCATCTATCTTATTGTTCAAAACCGTGCTTGTTATGAAATGTCATGTCGTGTTTGAACACTTCAAGCATGACACAATCTTCATCAAGCAACATGCATTCTGCTCACATCACTCGCTCTCGTTGAAGAGTGCTGAGAAAAGTACAGCGGTGAAAAGAGCAATACTCGAGCCTTTATGCGTCAAGCAAACAAGCGGAACTGTCACCACATGAAGTAAGGCCCGCACTAACAAGGGTTCCTGATTGCACACGCTCATTGAGCTGCCTGGTCCCTTACCGGATATTTCGTATGCACACGAGTCCTCTCCTGACGTGGTTGCGAAAACGTTTACATTAGTTTACAAGGGCGGCGAGGGTGGGTTTTTCGAAAACAATCTATCAGCATCTAAGAGCACTTTCCGGGCATCCTGCCCTCTGAGAGGTCCCGCTGCGACGGGTGTATGAGTAAATACAAATCCTGCACGAACAAGCATAAAACTGATCGAGCGGTGGAAATAAGTTGCGCAAAAATGCAAGCACTGAAACAACAAGCAAATGTTTTGTTCACCACAACATTTTGATGTTGTTTTGTTTCCCACGCGGCGAAGAGTCACTGGGTAAACAGTGAAACTTACGCCTAGCGTCCACCTCCTCATCTTCTAACTGGGAGGCACCCCGCAGCGAACTGCCAAAAGCAAGTGCACCGCTGCAGAAAAATGACACTGAAAGCGGAGAGGATACACCTCAGTCCGGCATTTTCGTACATACATGAGAAAAGGCAGCCCTCCGGGCGGCATACAGCTTTCTCGCTCGTACTAACTGTGGCCTAGCCAGAAGAGAAACCAAAAGCAACTCACGTATGTACAAAATTGCATTGCCCAGAGAGAATTTGCCCAAAGGAGGCCGCCTGCACCAGAGCCCACGTTACTGCAGCTTTCTCGCTCTTACTGACTGCAGAAGCAGCACACAGCGTTCCCGCTCGTACTAACTGTGACCTGTAGGAATAGCACATAGCAGCCGCGGAGAGGAGCTCACCAAGAGGAGCTCAAACTCAATGCCACATTCATAGGACAATGGCTTTACAGTGTAGAGGTTCCATCCGCTATGCTTCGTCCCACTGTTGGGACCAGAGCTCCACTGAAGTACTGGAACTCCTTCTCCTGCCGCGGATTTGCAGGAGAGACCCTCGGCTTAACCGGGAAATATAGCTGAGTCTCGAAGATCGTGAGGAAATGTAGTGAACAATGCCCAGCTGTAACTTGCGCAATCCCGGTGCCAGGACTTGGGACCTGGCTCGGCTAAATTGTTTGACTGTGGCAGGCGTGGGTAACCCGACAAGCCTGCACTGGACACAGCTGTGATTTCCGATAATGAGGACGGCGGCAACCAGATGGTGGTTGAGTGCTGTCGTCGCACTGATGGGAAGGAGGTCGCTATTAGCACCATTGTTCAACATGTAGCTAGGCACAGGCGTGGATAAACCGACAAGCCTGCCTAGGAGAAATGCTGAACGCTGCTGTGTTA